TGGGGGGCCGGTGGCCTGGTCTGCTCTCGGGTCCGGCCCCGGAGCCCCGGGAGCATGCTGCGAGGAGGGTCTCTGGTTTAAAACATAGCCAAGTGTGATTGTGATGCCTTGCTTTCTGCCCGTGCATCTGCATTAATGAGGTTCAATTCTCCTTACAAGGAAAATGAATTCCTTTTCCTGAGTCGCGTCTCTGACTGACAAGCTGCCGCTCCGGAGGCTGCGAGCGGGGCGGAGGGTGGAGGGTCATCTGCCAGCGAGCGTTGCCCGCTGTTGCTATTCTCGGAGCTCACGTCACCACAGGTTCCCCTTCTGCAGGGTCGCATCATTTCCCTTTTTAGAGCTGTTTTCTCCGAGGAGAGCGTTCCCCAAAGCGTGGTCAGGTTACAGGAGAGGCAGGCGCACCGCGCAGAGCTAGCGCACGGGGTCTGTTTGCAGGCACCAAGGGCTCTCTTGCCTCGGAGGACTCTGTGTCACGGTGGGTACCTGCCAGAGGTGGAGTAAAACCAAAATGCAGTTAGATGAATTCACAGATAAACCATGCTACACTCAGAAGTGAGTACCGAGAGGAGGATGCCGATGGCGAGGAGCCCTTTGGATCGCAGCGCCGAGGTCAGCTGCTGTGTTTGGTTCTGCTTCCACCCGTGTAGAGGCCGCGGTGCTGGTCAGTGGTGTTGGGGACCTGCCGGCTCAAAAGCTGATGGTTTGGCAGCAGGAGCGGGATGTACGCAAAGCCCCCGAGCAACAGCTCTGCCCGTGGCCAGGGTGGGAGCTGGAGAGGGGACCGCAGCCCGTGGGGCCTCCGGGGCAGGGCTGGTGTCGGCCGGCGCACAGGCTTGGGTCCTCGGGACGCTTGCATGCTCTGCATTCAGCTTTTCAGAGAAGCGATACTCCCCAGTTCAAGAAAGATGAGGAGCTACTGGACAGAGTCCAGCAGAGGGCTGTGAGGATGAGGAGGGGACTGGAGCATCTCTCCTATGAGGAGAGGCTGAGGGAGCTGGGCTTGTTCAGCCTGGAGAAGAGAAGGCTGAGAGGGGACCTTAGAAATGCCTCTAAATATCTGCAGGGTGGG